AGAGCGACCGACAGATAGGTAGACGGACAGACAGATAGATGGACAGACAGATAGACAGACAGACAGATAGACAGACAGATAGAAAAATAGATGGATAGATGGACAGACAGACGGACGGACGGAAGGACCGACAGATAGATAGATGGACAGACCGACAGATAGACAGACAGATAGATTGATAGACAGACAGACACATAGATAGATTATACAGTTACACTGACAGACAGACAGATAGACAGACAGATTAATAGACAGACAGACACATAGATTAGATATACAGTTGCGCTGACAGAGAGACAGACAGACAGAAAGACTGACAGATAAGACAGACAGACAGACAGATAGATAGATAGATAGATAGATAGATAGATAGATAGATAGATAGATAGATAGATAGATAGATAGATAGATAGTCACTTTAATTAGCTGATTTGATCTGTGTATTAAATGGTATTTAATATCTGTGTGCTGTGAAGAGTAAATATATGTGTAAGGCCACAGGTCTGAGATAAACATAAGTCTGACTGAAATTGGAAAACCCCACAGGTCTGGAGGATTGAATCCGTTCATCCAGTTACATTAACTATTAAACCTGTAAACAACTTGACTAGCTTTAGCTACACAAACCTACCTGCTCATCTGGCCAGATAGTGTTCAATACTGAAGACTAATCAACGCTTTTCTGTGTTCTGTTGTGTTTAGGAGATCCTCTGTAGCGCTAAACAACTGTTCTGCTGTAATAAAGCGAAGTGGAGTAAATATGTATTATTAGCCAGCTCGGTTCTGGCCTTAAAACGCCGTGAAGGAATTAGCGTACACCAACAAGCGTCCCGTTTCCAAGGAAACGGGTAATGTTTCCGCTTCTTAAATATTCCGGGTGAAACATGAACCAACCCGGAACCCATTCACATAGCACACAGTACCTACTCTGTAAAACATGAAGTTATGTGAATTTATTTCTTCTATTGAACTCTAACTTCTATTTAAGATATTGAACTCAGGTTTATGAGTTTACATTGTCTTGACTTGCAAAACATAACTTTTTGAGTTGAAACAAAGGTTATTTCCAAGCTGAGTTTACTGCAGTTTTTAAGGCAGCAGGTAAATTAGTTTAACGAAAAAATAAATAACTTTTACAGTGTAGCATTTAGTATACTACTACAGTATATAGTAATGCAAAAAGAGTAATCATTTTACTGTACTGTAAACATAGTTCACTGTACTTTTACAAATAAAAGCTTCTTCGTCTCCTAATACAAAAAAAATGTGAAGAAAGAAAGAAACAGACAAACAAAACACAGTACAAATGATTAGTACTGTAAACAAGTTTACGTGAGATGGAAACGAACTGTTCACATGTGACTAAATAATAACTGCAATATGATAATAATAATAATAATAATAATAATAATAATAATAATAATAATAATAATAATAATAATAATAATAATAATAATAATAATAATAATAATAATAATAATGTTTTTCTAAGACTCAAGGTCACGGGGGGTTAACCGTTTTAAATTGATTGTTAATATTTAATATTGATTTTTAACATATTACAGAACTATAATTATCTACAATTGTATCAAACCAGTTACAGCTACAAAAATTGCAGGAGATGGAGTAAAGGTAAAAGGGGAAAAAAAACATTAGAATACATATAGAGAGCATGGCAGAAAATAAAATGAAATAAAAATAAACTGAATTCTGTTAAATGAGCGTGTTTTCTGTTGTTTTTCAAAATTGCTAAGGTTGTCCTTGATTTGCTGAACAGAATGGCAGTCCCCAACCCCCCAGCAAAATCTTAATAACTGTAATTGCATAAATAGAGCTGGATATTTATTAAGATATGACTGATGACTGATTATTTGATAAATGCACAAGCCACACTTTAACCAGAGAACAGAAAGAGAGAGAGAGAGAGAGAGAGAGACGTAAAAACGTAAAATTATCTAATAATCAGTCATCAGCCGTATCTCTGGAGTTTCTGTCCTTTCCCTGAGTCCCTGCTGTCGGTGCTGATTATATCAGGTGTGTATCGAGCTGCATGAGGATGTGAACAGAATAATGGGCTTGTCATGTTTATGTAACAGAGGACGAATGTGTGTGTGTGTGTGTGTGTGTGTGTGTGTGTGTGTGTGTGTGTTTTTGTCAGCAGAACAAAAAGCACCACTTGTCCTCTTTTTGAGTGTGTGACTGGAATGAAGAGCCTGTGACACCACTGACTGGTGCTGGAGAGAGAGAGAGAGAGAGAGAGAGAGAGAGAGAGAGAGAGAGGTGATTTGAATGCAGAGGATGAGTGACGATGACCTTCATCATGAGTGAACAGCAGGTGGGACTGTCCAGAAACCAATGAGCTGGAGCTGAACAACATCTGCTGTTGTCCATATTTGCTTCAGGCATGTGTTTTATGTCCTGTTTGCTATCTATATTATTTTGTTGCTCTGTTTCCCACATTACACAGATACAAGAACATACAGCGTGTTGCACAGATTTTCACCACTGTTGCACCATTTGTAGTGTTAAAACATCAACTGAACTGTATTTAATTGGGATTCAATGTCATGTATTATACTGAGTGAAGCATGATGGTGGCGGCATCGTGTTGAGTGTTAAGCCTCGTGGTTGCTTCTCTGACTAATTCCTTCTTTACCTGCTCACTGACATTATGTGGACGGCTTCCTTTAGGCAGGATTGCCATATTTTCTCCTAAAGGTGTTCTGATAGCTCCTTGGTCTTCATGATGCTGTTTGTTTGGGTGTGTTCTCTAACAAACTCTTGGTTCTGTGAGGTACCTCTATATTAATATAACGATCGCACAATAGAAAGATCAACCACATTCAACTAATTATGAGAATTATGATTATACCAGAAGGAATTTAGGGTTTTCACAATATTGGGGGGGGAGGGGTTACTTATTTTTCATGACTTATTGTAATCCCAGTTCAATCCATTTCAGTTCCAGGCTGCAGGGAGGGGGTGAATACTAATGCTAGGTACTGTACATTATACTGTAGTGGTTCAATTTGGGGACGTAGCTACTGATTTATACTTTTATTCTTGTTCTCACTGGTTTCCAAAAGGGGACACTGATGAAACATCTGGAATTATGCAATAAGAAATCAAACCCAGTCCTGTTTTTCCATTCTTCATTGTAAACACAGTTCTCATGGTCTCTCAGTAGCTTCCAAAAGATCTTGAGGTCATTTTCCTTCAGTCCTGAAAAAATTCCCATGTCCCGAGCGTCTTTGTTTGGTTTTCCTTCACTCTACGGTCATCAGGCCATCTGGACTAGGTTTAGGTTGAGTGACTTTGGATGGCAGGAGATGAAGGATGTAATGTGGATCCCTGAATTCAGGAAAGATGAAGAACTTAAGGAGCAAACAATGATAAAAGTGCATTAATGGAGTTAAACTACAGGAAATGGGAATTAAAGAATAGATTCAACAACCAACACTAGGTGTGACGGATAAAGAGGACAGGAAGCTGTGACCATATAAGGAAAATAAGGATTACAATAAGGCCCACTGTGATAAAGCTGTACAGACATTTGTCTTTGGCTCTATTTGAACGGCACATGTTTTACACCAGGTGATTTCATTAATTACAGGTGCTACTCCTTCCAGGTCATCAGGGTTGGTGTGTTTCTCCTTTCAGCCTTAAGAAAGTCTGTCTTTGACCTATGATTTTATTTCTATCAGACTAAACAGTGTCCTGTTTGGTAAATTAATCTCTGTGATCACTGCTACTCACCATATTTGGTCAATTTTAGCTCGTGGTTTAAGAGAAAATATTTCAGGCAACCACAATATGATTTATGCTCAAGGAGAACCTAAATGAACGTAGTTGCTACGAGTTATATCACTTCATCTATGTATCATCCTCACTTCGAGCTCATTATGAGGAAAAACTCATTTTTTCATCAAAATAAAACATCCGGCAGGCTGGGTAAATTGGAATTTATGAAACAGTGGTATAGCCGGTAAAATTCCTCACTTTATATTCACCTATCACTGTAGCGTTCTATACATCAGTTCATGATCCAATTATGTTATCATATCACTGTTTTTGTTGCAAAAATCTGGCTTCATAAGAAGATAACCAGATTTATAGCCTTTCACGTGCCGTTTCATCGCAAAGGAGACATACAAATATTTTAGCACGCTCATCCTCCTGATAAACTAATCCCTTCCAGATTTTTCTTTCTTTTTTTTAACACACATTCCTATTCATGTCAAGCCAAGATCCATAGAATGATGTGTGCAAAAAGATCAAAATAAAACAAACACCGAGGAACAGAAGAGACAGATTGTGTTTCCTGGCCTGAAAAGAAAAGGGTCGCTGTTTATCAGTGCTGCTAACAGGATGAGGATAATTCTCTATTGGTGGAAAAAAAAAACATGATTCATCAGCAGGAGACTTGAGAAGAGAAAAAAAAACACTGTAGGATAAGAGCATGGCTAATAGTCTGTTCTCCTCTCTCTCTCTCTCTCTCTCTCTCTCTCTCTCTCTCTCTAGCTGTACTGTACATGTTGCTTTGAGACTCTCATGGTCTCTTCCTCCAGATTTTCCATGCCACTGTCACCTCTGGATTGTTCTTTAGGGAGTCAAATCTATGGATTTCCCTAAAGCTGCTTTCTAACAGTATTATGTTAATACAATGTAAATTATTCCCTCTAATTCCCTCTAATAAAGTCTACAGGACTGCTGAAACAGAACCGGAATAACCAGGCAGACCCGTTGTATGCCAACACTGTGGAGTGCATAAAGATGTTCTCTCTTGCTTTAAACGTCTGGATAAATGACTAACATGACCGAGTGGTGACGAAATCAATGAGACGATTTGTTATGTTTTATTTTGCATTGGTCCTGAACTTGCAGCGGGAATAAATATGACATTACATTTGGCAGACACTCTTATCCAGAGCAACTTACAATTACCTCATTTATACATCTGAGCAGTTGAGGGTTAAGGACCTTGCTCAACTGTGGAAGCTTGGCAGGTCTGGGATTTGAACTCATGACCTTCTGACCAGAAGTCCAATGTCTTAACCGCTGAACTACCATTTCCCCGTATGTATTTACATAAATACACATTTCTCTGTCTAATATTTTTGTCCTTGACTTTTCCTATTTTTTAATTTTTACTAAAAAAAGAATTTTTCTTTACATCAGACATGTCATCACTTCACTTGATTGAATGTTTTTAGCTCTGTGTCTACTCTCTGGTCCGGTCTTTACATGGTTGATTTCTCGAATCCGATTGGTCAGAAGGTATACATTATTTTTGTATAACAGTAGTTCTTCTTGTTTTATATTAATGCACTCATTCTAACACATACTTGTTTCTACAGTAACAGCTCACACGAGACGTTCATTTGGGCTGTAGCACACCACTCTGGTGTAAACACGGCGTGTCGTGTGGTATTACTTTCTTACTCAATGTATGTGACTGGATAAGCTGCAATTGTTGAATTGCAGAAACCTTTTTTCAGAGTATTTTTTTTAGGTTGGTCCACTAAATTACTTTGCTGGGCCCACTTCCAGACCACAGTGGACAACCGCTGGATTAAAACATTCATGATAAAACAGTTTGCATGCTGCTCATGGTGGGGATTTTTTTCCAGCAGGGAAGATAATGGATCTGTGTTGATCGTGTCTGCCTGTGCATTGACCCCAGACCACAGTAAGAAATTTGGGGAAAACCATATACATATATTCCAAAAAGATAAAGATCTCATTTTAAATTCTTTGTTTAAAACAACAACAACAACAACAACAACAACAACAACAACAAAATAAACAACAAATTAATCTGAGCTTTTTCTCAGAACATGATAAGCGACTCAATGGAAAAAAAAATATGCACACACAATACACTCATTGTGTTCCAGGCTCGCGTCGTGTTGATATATAAGCTCCTAATGCAAATAAATGAGTCCGTTACTGACGACTTTCTGCTCTCTAATGTCTTCATCAGACATAATGAAATGACGATTGCGTGCCTCTCTGTATATTCTATCCGTAGCAAGACACAGGAGACGAACAATGTAATCACTACTGAAACCGTTGTCAAGAAATACCACGACAGCGACGGTGAGGAAGTGCCATTTGAGCCTGGTTTATCAGGTTTTCTGCCATTGTGAAATACAACAAGCATTTCATTTGCAGTCACTTAGCACCAGTGCTAAATATATGTCTCTCACACACACACGGCGAGGTATTGGTTCAGAGAGATTTAAAAGACAGTTTCAATAATGAGTAGTTGAGAGTGATGGTAGTATCGTCAAAAACAAAAACAAACATTGTTTCTGTTTTTGCCGAATAAACAGCTGGACACGTGGCGTTCATCTCCGTGAGCGCGTGAGAGAGAAGTGCAGGACACAGTAAGATTGAGAGGATGATGAAGAGAGCAGAGTGATGAAGATAACCTGCTCCTGTCCAGCTGGTGTAACTCACTGTGGGAAGTACAATGTAAATCTAAAATCTCTCTCTCACACACACACACACACACACACACACAAGGAAATAGAAATGGCTGGGAAAGAAAAAACGGTGTTGCTTATCAGTGACAGGACAAAGCTGCCATCAGGAAGACGATAATTCTCTATTGGTTGAAAAAACATGATTCATCAGAAGGAGACTTGAGAAGAGGCTAAGTGCAAAGCTAATAATCTGCTCTCCTTCTCCGTCAAGTGGTACATGATTCCAGTTCTTGATCCTGACAAACGTTTACTGCTTTGGCTCCTCCGGACCTGCACGTTTCATGTTGATGTTTCTTCTGCACTCCTTCTGCTGTTGTGTTTGCTTGGGATCCTGTTTAATTCTCTCAAGCTTTCGTCCTCAGGACACTTCAAGTTACGCTGTTAGATCTGTGAATAATGAGAGGAACTTTGTTGTTCCAGTTGGTATTTCAGATGTGAAGCAGCTGCACATTAAACCAAAAAACAGATTTACTTCTAAAGTGTTCTGTGGTACTATTTCTATTGCTACAACCTTTCTTTTCTTGTGTGGTTATGTAATGCTGTGTTATGTCAGAGACTGAAGTGTATGTCATGGAGGGTGAATTCTCCTATAATCACGTCGCCCACACACACATTACTAGCTGACTATTCTGATCTACGGACCTGGTTCTCTTTGAGGATGCAATCTGACAATGTCTACTGTTTTGGTGTTACTACAGTTTGTGTTAGTGAGGTTGTTGATATTGTGGTTTTGGTGGAGTTGTTGGTGTTAGTGGGCTGTTGGTTTTGCTGAAGTAGTTGATGTTGTGGATTTTGTGGTGTTGGTGGAGTCATTGGTGTTTGTAGGGTCGTTGGGGTTTCAGCTTTAGTAGTGTTGGTGGAGTTGTGATTTTTATTGTTGTGTTTTGTATTCTTTAATGTTGTGTTTTTGGTAGCACTGATGGAGTTATTGCTTGTGGTGTTGCTGGGGTTGTTGGTGTTAGTGGCATTGGTGGAGTTGTTGGTGCTGGTGTTGGTTGGATTGTTGGTGTTAGTGGTGTCGATGTTAGAGGAGTTCTTGGTATTAATGAAATTCTCGGTGTTTCAGGGTGTTAACGGAGTTCTTGATGTGGTTTTGGTGGTGTTAGTGGAGTTGTTGCTATTGTGGTTTGGTGGTGTTAGAGGGGATTGTTGTACTGTTGTGTTAGTGGTGTTAACATTAGTGGAGTACTTAGTGTTAGTGGACTTGGTGTGGTATTCGTGGTGTTAGTAGAGTTGTTGGTATTGTAGTTTTAGTGATATTAGTGGTGTTGATGTTAGTGGAGTTCTTGGTTTTGTGATTTTGGTCATGTTAGCATTGGTTGTTGGTGTTGTGGTTTTGGTAGTGTTAGTGGAGTTATTGGTGTTACGCTTTTGGTGATGTTAGTAGGGTTGTTGGTGTTGTGGTTTCGGTGATGTTAGTGGAGTTGTTGGTGTTGTGGTTTTGGTGATGTTAATGGGGTTGTTTGTGGTTAGTGTGGTTTGTTGTGTTGTTGGTGGTATAGGTGGAGTTGATGGTGTTGCTGTAGTTATTGCTGTTGTGATATAGGTGGTGTTCGTGGTGGTGTGGTTTTGGTGGTGTTGGTTAAGTTGTTAGTGTTGTGATTTGGCTGGTGTTGGTGGAGTTCCTGATGTTTGGTTGTTGTTGTTTTTTATTGGTGTTTGGTTAACACTCGCCCACTTTGTTTTATAGAAGGATAACAATCTAAAACAGCACAGTCTAAAAAACACACCAGTCAAGACAATATTAGTCCAACACCGATAATGCAATATTCAGTATAACATTGATATCATTTCAACTTTTTAAAATAAAAATGTATCAAAGATGATCTCTCAGGGGTCTATGTTGGGTTGGAGATGGTGGTACAACATGAGGGAAACAGATGACACACTAACAGAATCATTTCACACTTGAATGCACTTGCTTCCAGACACACACACACACACACACACACACACACACACACAGTCCTTTCAGATACATGCACCCCTGAGATTGAAATACCCCCCACTCTTTCAGATCAAATGTTCACTGGGAACATCTTTCTCTCATTCTTTGTCTCTCCTTTCTCTCCCTCAATCAAAACAAACACCACCATCAAGCTTCATGACTCACAAAGGCCATCGCATTGAGAGAATGTCAATGATGACACAAGTCAATCATGCACACACGCAAATACACACACTCTCTCAGACAGATGTTTAGTAAAGCTTTGGGCAGCTGGTTTCATTCTGAATGGAGTTAATCACACATGCAAATTACAATCAAGAGACCATCTGCCTTTTATAGAAACGCTGATCGCACCATTGAATACCTGCCAAATATTTACGCCGCTAAAGGCCAGAAGCTGTGCAGAGAGATCTGTAACATTTTGCACATAAACCATAAGGTTTAAAATACAAAACACAACAGACAATCAAAGCCCAGAAAAGCTTTCTCCATAAAACATCAACATTCAACTAAACACATTCCTCATCCAGCACCTACAAAAACCAGCAAACTCACGTTCTCTATACAACACCAGCATTCACCAACACTTACCTATAATCACTATACAAGACCTACATTTACTAATGAATATCAACATTTACTAAGAAACACCACTATTTAACAACACACACAAACACGTTCTCCTTAAAACACCAACATTCACCAATAAACATCAACAGTATCAGCAAAAACAAGCATTCAGCAAAACACACAATAATTCTCCACGAAACAACAACATTCTCCATAAAACACCAACATTCGCCAACACACACAAACTTTCTCCACAATTTTAGTATTCATGATAAAACATCAACATTGCAATACCACCACCAACAACAACGTTAACAGCACAATCAAAACCACCACCACAAATCCAACACTACAACACCACCACCAACAAGAATAACACCTCCAACAGCACAATCAACATCACCACCCACCACTCCAAACCTGCCATACCACCAACATTAACAACTCCAACAGCACAATCAACACCACCAACCACCATACCAGCACTACAATACCACCAACAACAATAACAACTGCAATAGCACATTCAACACTACCACTCCAACACTGCAATACCACCAACAATAACAACTGCAACAGTTCAATCAAGACTACCACCCACCACTCCAACACTGCAATACCACCACCAACAATAACACCTCCAACGGCTCAATCAACCTTGCCACCCATCACTCCAACACTGCAATACCACCAACAACAATAATACCTCCAACAGAACAATCAACATCGCCACCCACTACTCCAACACTGCAATACCACCAACAACAACGCCAACTGCAACAGCACAATCCCCAACACAAACACCACCACCCACCACAGCAACACTACAATGACACCATCAATTATAACAACACAATCACAATCAACACTACCACCCACCACTCCAAAAGTGCAATCCCAATAACAATATCAACCGTAACATCAATCATTACCACCACTGACTACTCCAACACCGCAATACCCCCAACAACAACTGCAACAAGAAGAAGAAAAAAAACTATAATAGCACAAATATGTCGTATTTCAGCAGTGAAATGTTAGACCTCAGCATGTCTCATAAGGGAAAA